AAGCATTTGATTGGATCTTTTAACCGAATAAATGATGAACAATAATAAAGATACGCAACTGCACTTGACTACAGACACACACAGAGGCACGCAGATAAAAAAACGGGGAAATTAAAAAAAAGTGATGGAACGCTGTGCACAATATTGAAGTGTCCGACTGGAATTGGCGCGAGAGAGAGTATATATTCATGGTTGTGGTTGACTCCATGTTTACGCAATCAATGCATAGAGTGCTAACTGAGCGATACAAAAGCCGCGTCATTCACAAATTCATTCGACTTTATCGGGATGGAATTCTTCAAACAATCTAGTTGTTTTCGAGCTGCTTTTTTTTCTCGGACCGTGATTCACATCGCAAATTGAATTTTCACCACTGCTTTTGCCATCTCTCCATGCCCGATCCCCAAAGCCGATTCTCAGTAAAACTCTGCACAGGAAAAACACATACGCTTTCAGATACACAAATAACGACAGGAAATTCCATGTTGTCTCGAATTTTAATTAAATTCACCTCGGAAAACAGCTCGTGAACGTAATGGCACAAGGTAGAGACGCAAAGAGACAGAGAGTTATAGAGAGAGGAGAGATAGGGAAAGAGGAGAGAGAGAATGGGTGTGCAAATACTCGCGACATAGGAAATGTGTGAAGGATCTATGGCAACGTTGAATGCTCCGGTTGATATGAGAATAATTGCGGTTTGCCATATGCTGGCATGGTATTCACTCATTTATCTCTCGTCTCTGCCGTCTATCTCTCTGCGACCGTGTCTGCGAGTCTGTGAGTCGCGACGTGAAACATGCTCGTGAACGTAAACGATGGCAGATTTATTATAAATGTTACTCAGCCGTATCAGCCAAAGGGTGAGAGACGTGGAGACAATGTGAAATGCATTTTTTGGCACCATATTATCGATGCATGGAAAATCAAAAACAGCAAAATCGTTGCACTACAACAGCAGCAACGTCAGAGGCAACAAAAAATGGGCAAACGGCGATTTTAACGCGTAATCGACAGTTCAGTCCACTATATCTACGATAAAGTGTCACATGGAACGAGCATAATTCATGTTAGTTGTGGACGTTTTTTTTCATCCCAGCCTGTTAATTGGCGTCACGAGGCTATTACATGCCCATTCAAATGTGCAAACCTTGAGCAAACTTTATATAAAATTTATGCTTTGTTTGGCCATTTTTGACAAATTGAATGCTCGTTCCCCGACCACATTTGCCAAAGGCCACTGTATTTTTTTCGTGTTTTTTTCGCCAAAAAACATAACATTTCCATGCATAATATGATACATTTACAATAATTAATGATACATTTTTGCATATTTTATATCGATTTAACAATTAATGTCCAATGATATTCGGGCAGTACAAGATAAAAATTAATTTACCGAGGCTGGGCCAATTTTTTTTCTCCCGTCTGACATTTGAAATTGATATATGATACGAGATGAAAAAAAAAATCCCGCGTTAACTTGATAAAGCTTAGCAAAATCGATTGTTGAAGCTGGCGCATGAATGGTGGTAGCAGTCTCAAATTGTTTGGCCAATAGAAATAACAAGCGTAAATTGATAAAAAAAAGCGAATAAGATTGGATCTTGGACGAACAATATAATCTTTTTGGGCATGTGCAAAAATGACAAACCCGGTCAACGATTAAATTGCAACAAAGGAGGCGAAAAATGATAAAATGGGTGAAGCGTAATTACATTGTTCGGTCTACATATGTTTCGTCGATGAAATAATATGAACGAAACGTGTACCGAATCTGTAATATGATCATTTCGTGTTGGTGTGTGTATGTGTCTGTGTCTGTGTGTCACACGGATGAAACACGGGCAAATGCAGCACAGCGTACAAATGAAATACTAATTACTTTGCTGAATATAATCGCTGACTTTGTAAGACTTAACGAGCTGTTGAATTATTTTTCCCTTCAATTTATTTTCGGAACGCAGCAGCAGCGATCAAGATGAAGAAGAAGAAGAAGAGGACGGAAGAGGGAATGAGTTGACCGTTTGTCGATGATTTGCCCTATCTTAGTCAAGCATGTAGCATTTTCCAATTATGGATGGCATTTCAAATTCGTTGGGAGTTTTCAACACGTGTTTTAATTTCGCGTACACATTCCATTTGCTGAATACGAATTGCGCACAATTATTATTTGGATTTTTGTATGCAGAAAAGAAATTGACATTTGCAATTGAGAAATACGCGCATCTCATCCACTTTTCGCTCGTTCACTCACTTGCACACACAAATGCTGTTCACTTTTTATTATTTCGACGATTTCCGAGACACTGTCAAAGAGATGTGCAAACTTTTGGCGTCACAAGACTGAAGAATGAAAAAATATATATATATCAATTTTACACTTGATTGCTTTGTTTGGCTCCGTTCGGGACTTGTATTATTCGCCCTGCTCTCAACGTTCAATTGAACAATTCGAATGATGCGGCAAAGTGAGCAGTCGTGACGAAAATCAAAATACAAATCGTGCAATTTTATTCCGATGCACTTTGGCATTCAAACTGAATCCTTGTCAATTGGATCATTTTTGCCGGAGTGTAGCGGATATGTTCCGTTCACATCTTGATTTGCTCTCATCCGGATCGGTTGGAATGCACTTGCACACAGCATATTTATGTGTGTACTGGTCCAACAAAAGAGAGACGAAACGGAGTCCGAGGCGAACGAAAGCAGAGAGACAGAGCGAAAAAAAATGGGAATAGAAACAGACGCACACATCTCTTTAATCTGGATAAATGCAAAATTCGAAAGTAATTTCCTCGAATGTCACTCACTGTGCTGAATATACAACTATCTATCTCTTTAGTTTCCAATGAAAATGATGATGAGACTCCCCGGAAGACCGGGAGTGGTTTGCTGGCGCAGCACAAAATACTACACACACACACACACACACACACACACACACACACAAATGCAATTGCACCGACAAATCTTAGACGAGATATGCAAAACTGTAACATTTTCAGCGGGGCCGAGAGAGCAGCAGAAAAGGGAGACGGAAAAAGTGCAATTTCCATTGAAATGCTTATTTCACTTGACATGCACTCAAAAACTAGTCGTTTTTGTCTATTCCCATTCTGCTCGGTCGGAGGACATAACATCATGCGAAACGAATCAAGTCGAGTCGCATCACGTCTTCTTCATTTTTTTTTCTCTCTATTCATACACACATTCCACGGGTTTTATTATGAATGTTTCTGCAACGAATATATTAATTTTGTTTTTGCTCATCTCCAAGCGAGAGCGAGAAAGACAACAACAATCAACTGTCTTAACAAATCATAGCAAAAAAAAGATTACAAATGTTCGCAAACTAACGACTTGGGCGTACCCACTCACAAAGGCGCGCTCGTATCAAAATGTAAGTGACTTTGAATATGCATCCGCATGAAGTGGCCCTATGAATTACATCTCGTAAGAAGAATGTAATTAATTTTAACAGTAATTAAAGGAGATGCGAATGTAAAGTAGAATGCACTCCAAATTACACATACAATTTCGCAACGTTCAGTGATTTTTTTTTTTAATGACATTATCTCACTCGGCAAAGAGAAAAATAACAAGCAATGCGCTGGAGAAAAAATTCATAATAATGATGTTTGCCCGTTTGTAAAATCTTTTTTAAATTACTTGGACCACATCACAAAAGGCTGTTGAAGTGGCTGTTGCTGCTGCTGATATTGCTGCTGCTGAAGCAAAAAGAAGCGCAAACACCGCGTACCATCATAGATGGGTTTGTTTATATTCATTTTGTTGGTCAATGACCGGGCAGTAACCGCTAGCGTTTTTCGGCAAATCCATACATATATACGTACGTGTATTGATGGACGCATATGTGTGCGGAGACACGACCTAACTGCCGACGAGCATAAGAATGAATGTATCGTGTGTGCGCTTGCACACAATTACATGTGCACATGCCAGCAGCGGCGATTGATGTTCATAACACGGCATTATTGTTATTATGAGTTCAGTACGTGTGCAATTTGAGCGCAATTCCTCTCTGTCCTGTGTTTTTTTCTCTCAATTTTTTTTCCTTCATCCAGCTTTTGTAGTAATTGTTCGTTTGGTATTACGTATACGGAAAAAAACATACCTCCCGTGAAAAAAACGCAGGAGAAACGAACGAAAGAATCAAAACTTGCATTAAAAACAATTTCCTTTGTCAAAATGTTGGATCGTTCTCTATCTCGCATGCACATGTTATTATTAGGTTTATTTCTATGCACGTTTCACTTTGCAGCATCCAGCACAATGTGTACGCCTGTGAGATTGCGTTTCGTTGGAATATTTTTTTCTGTTCCGTTTTTGCTTTCTTGGTGTGTTTGTGTTTCGTTTGTGCTGCAAATGTTGCACAAACATTTCAGGTTCTAGCTATTAAAAACAAGTTATTTACTTGTATACGCCTGAAATGTTAAAGAATGCGCATTTCTGTGTTTTTTTTTCTCTCTTCGTTTGTTGGCCCCAGCTCCAAAAATAAAATTGAACAGTTTGCATTGAAATCATACGATTTCGAATGGGAAATAATACGTTGCTGTCTTTGTGATTATGGCTTTATAGCTTAACAATAGCAATACTCGTTCTTCCTTCACTTATGCGGATCGGATTGCTGCGCACCAGCGTCCAGTGCAATTTCAAATAACAATGTTACAATCCCCGAAAATTTTCAAGTACCAATTAAATTTGCGTTCAGTTACTGTTGCATGCATCGAAATTGAAATGGTCAGTTGCACCAATTGCCAATTCAGTCAAATTAGTCTGCGCATTTTTTTCTTTCACTCTTTCAACAATTGTAGTTCTTTTGGTCAGAAAAGAGTACGTTGTTGATTCCATGGGAATTTTCGATGGTCCATTTGTTGCTTAATTTTCCGTATACTTTTCTATTCATACCACAATTGCAAATAGAGTAGGCAAAAAAAACCGCATGAATTTCAATAATACAATTCGAAAGTTGGTTGTACCTCGTCTGCAGAAATGGTGTGCGGATTCATAGCCAATGGATCAGTGCTGCCATCGCGAAGTAGTACATTTCCATTGGTTCCACTTGAATTTCTGTCATCGTGCAAACTAATCGCTTTCCGGTAAACTTTCCTGCAAATGAAAACGAGACGAACGAGAAGAAAAATATGGAAAATTAAATTTGATGACGAAATTGTATAGGAAATATAATAAAAATTCACGATTCAATATATTCAACTACTGCTACACCAAGCACTCATTGCACTAGTAATGTGACCAAAAAAGTGGCAATTTTACACGCTGTTACAATAACAGTAAATAAAGTATTTTATTTAATTTCGATGTTCTATGTACCAATTTGCATCACAGAAATGGTACAAAGTACGTAAAAGGGGTACCCGGTATAGCAACAACAAGAGCAACAATTGAATCGAACGGATTTGTTAGCCACAGCTTTTTGTTCGGAAAATCCATTCAAGCCATTGTGTGTCCGTTGCATGCACAACTTCAAATGCATTGAGTTTGTTCAGCTTCATTAAAATTGAACAAAACCGGGGTTATTTGGGATCTAGCTCAAAAGTGTTCATTATAACGAAATGGTTTGTTGTGCTAATGTATTGTCCGTTGAATTTTACCACCTCCTCGGGAAAAGTGGTACACTGTGGAAAGTGATGAAATCTCTCTGCGAATTCGATTTTAAATGGATCGCAATACCAATTTCTCGGTGTCGGAGCACACACAACATACGGCATGAGAGTGACCGAGAGAGAGAGAGAGAGAGAGAGAGAGAAGGAGAGAGAGAGAGAGAGAGAGAGAAAGAGAGAGAGAGAGAGAGAGAGAGAGAGAGAGAGCGAACGTGCATCAAGTTTATCCCAAAGACTTAAAATCTCACGTCAAGTATTTATGTTCACGGCGGTCGAACAGCATTTGGCTAGAGTAATCAACAATTGCATAATATATGGAAACGACTGGCAATTTATTATGTAAATATGTTCAATGCCCAATGGAAAATACATTTTCACCGGTAAATCGATGCTTTCTCGCACTTATTCGCGCACTTCACATTATACACTTTACACATACTCTCTCACTCACTCAGCATTGCCCCTTTTCGTCCTTCTCTCTCTCTCTCTCCGCCGCTCGCTT